TGCACCTGATATAAATTGTCCGAGAAACAATGGAAATTTTTTTTGCAAAATATACAGTTTTGTAAAAGATGATGGCGAAACCAATTTTTCATGTTCACCCGATGTATTGCGTGAATTTTTTGCGAATTTTACGTGTGAACCAACTTGCTGTGTTTAAAATATTATGATCAATTGAGGCAAATTTATTATATCATCAAGTATAAATTGTATGGCCGAATAGGTACGGGTTGTTTGTTGATATTGGGTAGGGGTGTGTGGTCAAATTAAACACGACAAAGGCATATTTTGAAAATGTAAAATTCAGACAATGGAATTTTTTAAAAATTAGAAATTGAATTAGAAAATGAGCAAAGAGCGTTATGTCATAAGCATTTCGATCCTTTACAAATTTGTTTTTGAGATATTTGAATTATTATAGGTGCCGAGAGTCTGCTTACTGCAGGTTAGTTTGGGTTACGATCTTGTATTACATAAATTATAAATGATTAGCAATTAATTAATATCAAATTAATTATATTATTAGTAAACTCATTGCATAGAAAAAACTATATTGGCATTATATATGACGATAATCGGGATTCAAAATTTCAAATATATAAAGATATATATTAAGAATTTATATAGATGTTGTTTTGGCTCCATCAATTCGACGTATCGCGCTCTAAAAGGCTTCCAGGAGGCTAAGCGTCAACTATATAAAAAATTTCTTCTTTCCGCTATTAATGATTATTTTTTTTTTATTTTAACGAAGTTAAAAAAGAAAAACAAGTATTTATTTTCTATATAAAATAAAAACTTAATCAAGTATTGTTAGATATCATTAATGATTATAGACTCAAGATAATATAAACTCAAATTCAACGGCGTTGTATTGTAACTTCAACGCTGCGTTGCAATGTAACGTCTACGCGGCGTTGCACTGTAACGTCTACGCGGCGTTGTTACGCTGCGTTGCACTGTAACGCATACGCCGCGTTGCACTGTAACGTCTACGCCGCGTTGCACTGTAACTTCAAGCCGGCTTTGTGTTGTAACTTCAACTCGGCGTTGCACTGTAACTTCAAGCCGGCTTTATACTGTAACTTCAACTCGGCGTTGCACTGTAACATCGAGGTGTTGTGCAGTGACGTAAATCATTAAGATAAAATATAACACAATACACACAAATGCAGGACGAGAGTCTAACTTTAACGTCCTCCCCACAAATGGGAATGACAGTAAATTTTATATTCATGTATTCACTCATATTCACAAACTTAACAAAGTTTAGGTCCGCAGTTCGCTTTGGCAGGGCTTTAAGTGTAGCCGTCACAATATCAGGACACACTTAATACAGCGATTTCAGCGTTTATTAGGCCGAATGGGTGTCGCCGATTTTCAACATCGTAGAACATCCACAGCTTGTTGCGGTCTCGAACGCGCAACTCACTGCTTCTATTTGCTTTGCTTATGGGGAGCATATCGGTCAAAATCTATTTTCTATATTAAGGGAAGGATCATCTCCAAACCTGGTACACATATATAAAATCAAAAATGACGACTATTTTGTTCATGTGAATTTTTCGAAAAATTGAAAGAAAACGTGAAATTCGTAGAAAACGACCAAAATGGTGGTACTTTAGAAAATGTAATGCATCATACAATTTACGTGCCCAACACTGTTTGACATATCATTCGATTGATAAAGACAATGTCTAGCGATTGTCGAGCCACTTTTTCAATTTTTTTCTTGGTTCTCTTGTTATGATGATTTTTCTGGAAAATTTTGAATTTTCGAAATTTACCCCCCAATCCCCCCATTGTGCAATATATCATCCAAACTAGATGAAATTGAAAAAAATGGCGCAACAATCGCTGGATCTTTTTATTACGAATCGAACGGTATATCTCTCATTGCTGTAGCTTCAAAACTCTAGGAGGAGATAGGTTTGCCGTGAGAGCAATAGGAGGTTTACAGGAGAACGGATGAACCGCCGACTGGCGGCGCGAGCGCTATGTAAAAGCATATAACGTAGCTTGGATACCAAATGTAAGCGTTATTTCACTCTGAAGTCACTCAGCGATGCAGAGAACGACTGCATGCCACCTTCCAGAATGACAGCTTTTTGTTAACTGAGCTGCGAGGCCACAGACTGCACATTTATAACATAGTGATGTCGGCGCTGAAGTGTAGGCCTGATGTGGCCTGTCGCCGGACGGAATTATAGACACCGGACGGAATTATTCTCATAGGGTTTTGTTAAGGGGCTCTGCCACCCCCCACTCTTCGCAATCTGTCGTTGACGCACAAAACAACGTACAGAGATGGTTTTCGTACCGTTGGATAGGTCAGAATGTCAGCTTTAAGATGAGACTAGAAACCGGAGAAGTCAAAATTTTCGATTTTGACCAGAAAATGACGCAAAGAGCTGGGATCGAACCCGTACCTCTCTGCTCCGATCTTGGTGCTGAACTGTAACCACTGGGCCAACCTGCCACTTGTCATACATTCAGGACACACTTATCATGCTCTCAGGACACACTTGTCATACATTAAGGACACATGTCATGCTCTCAGGACACACGTGTCATACTTTCACGACACACTTATCAAGTTATCATACTCTCATGACACACTTATCATACTCTCAGGACACACTTGTCATAAACCCAGGACACTTTTGTCATATTCTATGGACACACTTGTCATGAAAGCAGGACACACTTGTCGTAAACCCAGTACACACTTATCATAGTCTCAGGACACATTTGTCATAAACACAGGATATATTTGTTATGTTCTCTGGACCCTTTTCAGCCTCTCAGGACACACTTGTCACTCTCAGGACACACATGTCACGCTCTCAAGACACACTTGTGAGGCAGAGCTGGGCAGCGCTACTTTGAAATGTAGCGGTGCTACCGCTACCGCTACATGCTCTAAATGTAGCGGGCGCTACCGCTACCGCTAAACCCACTAGATTGTAGCGAGCGCTACCGCTACCGCTACAGTAAAATTTAGCGTCGCTACATTTGCCGCTACAATGGCCAAAATTATTGGAAATCTCTAAATATTTATAGTTCTGCTATTGGGATTTACTCATTACCATTTAATGATAATAAAACATTTTCAAAGCATATCAATGCAACTTTATTGCAATTAACCTAACCGAACTAGTACGGGTTAGATACAGTAAATAAAAGTTACAGTTATTTATATGTTTTACCTTCCCTACATGGATGTGTACTTTAATCTACCAATTTAAAAAATTATCCACATATACATATAAAAATCAGTCTTTTATTTGTATATATATGTGGACTATTTTTGAGATTGGTAGATTAAAGTAGACATCCGTGTAGGAAAGGTGAAACATAAAAATAACTCTGTAAAAATAACTGTAAGCAAACTGAAAGATGAAAAAATACCTGTAAGTGGTAACTGGTAACAACTTAACAAGTAACAACTAATATGTTGACACTAGTAACAGGCTGAGGTTGACAACATTACACCGAAATCTTTCGTACAGTTTTATTCTATAAATTATATTATGCATGTATCATGCTGGTTTTTTCAATAATATTTAATACTATTAAGTAAAATCTAAAGGCTTTATCTATAAATGTAGCGGTAGCGCTGTAGCGGCAAAACCTCGTATCGCTACTGAAATATGTAGCGGGCGCTACCGCTACCGCTACATTGCCTTAAATGTAGCGCCGCTACCGCTACTGAAAATGTAGCGCGCTACTGCCCACCTCTGCACTTGTCATACTCTCAGGCACACATTTCATACTCTCAGGACACACTTACCATACTCCCAGGACACACTTGTCATGCTCTCAGGACACACTTACCATATTCTCAGGACACACTTGTCATACTCTCAAGACATACATGTCATACTCTCAGGACACACTTTTCATACTTTCAGGACACACTTGTCATACTCTCAGGACACGCTTGTAATACTCTTAACACACACTTAATAGCGGTTTATAATAATAGCGGTTTCAGCGTTTATTAGGCCGTAGGCCTGTCGCCGATTCTTAACATCGCAGAACATTCACAGCATTTTGAGGTCTCGAACTCGCAACGCACTGCTACAATTCTGCTGCAACCGCCCGGCCTCCCTGCCGATTCTGACCAGAAACTTTCGCACAGAGCTGTGATCGAACCCGCGCCTCTCTAGTGCGTCAATCTTGGTACTCTGAACTTTAAAGCTGCTTATATTTTACGATACACTTGGATAATTGATGATAAAGCCGGTTAACCACTGAACCACCAGTAGGACACTTGTCCTACTTTCAGGACACATGCGAAACGTACCGGGCTATCCTTAGAAAAGAAGCCTTGAGGGGAAGGATTGTGCGAAACCAACAAAAATTAAGAAATCAATATTATGCTAGATGCTCCTTAATTACAATTTAAGTTAAGATGTTATACGCATCATTTAATTCAATGACAGAAATACTTTGTGGGGATAACCTCGTGCATGGCACAGTCTTGTAGCATAATAAGCCTTTCTTAAAACCAGACTTATATGCAGGTAAAACTAGCAATATCATAAAGTTGCCAGCAATTAATTCATATGCATATATGATATATAACAGAAAATTCGCTGATCGAAATTTTGATGTAATTAATATGGACATCTTAAACGCAGTGTCTACTCTGATTTAGAGTGATTGAATAATTCAAAAATATATATACATATTCATTCATATATTAATAAAAAAACAGCTCTCACTAATGAATTCTCAATAAAAAAAAAGCAAATTTCAGTCAATAGAGAAGTTCGGGATTTTTTATATGAAAGAATCATGGAGAATAAATAATAGACAGCTGATATAAGTAGATTCAAAATTTCACATCAGAAGAACCGACTAAACGTTTCAGCTTTAATTGCCATTACCTAAAAATTTCACGATATTTTCCGGAAATATTTCCGTGACTATGGAAAAGTCGATGTTATTTCTCTACCGGATTTTCTCCTTAATTGACAAAAAAAAAATTATTGTGATAGAAGGTAGTCAAAGTTGTTATTTTTGTTGTATTTTTTGAAAAATTTGGTATGAGTTCAATAACAGAAATATGTTCAAAGCTGAAATCTGAAGGCTGGTAAGTTACAGTGAGTTCATTCACAATTTAAAGCTTTCTAATAGGCTAACTAGTAATAAGTCAAGATGGTCAATCTGAGTTAGGTATCTGACTAGGCTAACTGTTAACTGACTTCTGAGTTAGAGCACAGGCACCAGCAAAATTGGAAAAGCTTTTACTAGACTTGTAGCTCTAAAGTAACAAATTTTAAATAATTTTGTAATCTTGTAAGTCAATCATGCTTTTCAAGTGTGGAATTTGGAAAACATCTACCTTTAGTCTAGTTTAGGCAATAGGCAGAGCTGGAAAAATCCTATTTTTTCTTAAATATTATGGCTCTAATATCATATAATTTCAGTAGGTGTGAAATCTTGTTGCTCTAATGTCATGTATTCTTTGTTAGATTGAAAAAATTGTGTTTTTCACTTTGCAAACATGTTGTTTCAACATCCAAAATGTTTCCTTGAGCTTGAAGATTGCGTAGCTGTGGACTGTGGTCATGTCAGTCATAAGAGCAAGCAGATTGCAATATCATGTGTTCATTTGCCACTCAAGTAAAGACAAATAGTAGTGTTGTTTGATGCCTGTTTTGATTGCCAGGGTAAAATTAGAGATTTGGGGTAACATGTGTATACAGTATAAGAGTTGAGACTTTGAAAATAAGCTTGCAGCTCATAAATAGATTTTTATGACATAAATGTAGAATTCACTGCTCAAAGAAATGGAATCATGTTTGGCAAGCCCATAAAACCAAGGCTCAAAAAATTCAGTTGTGGCTCGCCAAGCAGATATATTCCATGCCTGCCTTCCATGGTCAGGAAGATGTGTCAGGTGCGTGGGAATTTATTTTGTCATTTTAACGACCTGCGCGGTGCGCCGTACTACGTTGGTAAAAAAATGCGCCATGCGCCGTACTTTAGAAAGCTAAAATAGTTCTACTATTTTAGTGGACAATATACGCGAGTATATTGACTATGCGAGTCGAACTGACAATAATAAAATGTAAGACATGTCCGGGTTACTTCTGACTCTTCCGGTTGTCCGCATTGTCGGATACGGAACGTACGGTAATCGTAAACTAAGGCTGTTATACATACGAAATGTAAACAGATGGTGTTCAGTCTTGCCATATGACTTTGGAGAAAATTTCTTCTAAAATAAAGATGGCCGGGATTGCGCGAACACGTGCGCGAAGATAATCAATTTTCATTACATTGCGCCAACTGTGCACAGCAATAGCTTAAAAAAAGTGAAAATGCGCGGGAAAATTCACCGAAAACATACATCATCCTGAGTGTGGCCTGCCTTTAGGTTTAGGGCTATGACTAGAGCTTTCCCAATGTTTCCAGAACCGTGGAATTTCCGCCAGATGAATTACCTCCTATCTAATTGTTAACAAAAATGCATGATCGGGCTGCGAGATTCCAAACATATCTTAAATTTGTCACATGGGAGCTGACCAATTCTGGGAGCTGACCAGCTCATTCCAACTTGATTCAACTCAACTCAATTCAACCCAACCAAATTCAACCAAACTCCACTCAATTCAACCCGACATAATTTAAATCAAACTAATTCAATTTAACCCATATCACATCATTCCAGCCCAATTTAAGCAAACCTAATTCAATAAAATTGAGTACCTAGACTGAATTAGAAATTATTAGAATGCATCAGGTTTTATTTGATTGCACTAGATTTTATTACGATGCATTAGAATTCACTAGAATGCATTAAATAGAATTAGGGTACATTAGATTTCATTAGGTTACATTAGATTGCATTAGAACGCTTTTGATTGCATTAGAAAGTATCAGATTGAATTTGAATGTATTAAATTGCATTAGGTTACATTAGATTGCATTAGGTTAGATTAGATTGCATTAGAACGCTTAAGATTGCATTAGAAAGTATCAGATTGAATTGAATACATTAGATTGCATTTGGTTACATTAGATTGCATTAGGTTATATTAGATTGCATTAGGTTACATTAGACTGCATTAGGTTACATTAGACTTCATTAGGTTACATTAGACTGCATTAGGTTACATTACTAGACTGCATTAGGTTACAATAGATTGCATTAGATTACATGATATTGCCTTAGATTGCCTTAGGTTACATTAGAATTCAGGGTTGGCGATTTTTTTTATTTTTTTAAAAAAATCAAAAAAATCAAAAATCAATGATTTTTTTGATTTTTCACGATTTTTTTGATTTATTTGATTTTTTTGATTTTTTCAACTTTTTTGTCGTTTTGATGTGTTATTTTTTATGTTGCAATTAGCCTACTAACAATAACAGTATATGGATCATAATGGATGGCTAAAAAGGGCACTTATTGCCTTCAATAATGGCCAACAGGCCAAGGTGGTGTTAACCACTTAGGGATTTTTGGGTAAACAATTATTGGTACTATGTCTATTCATTAGCTTTGTAAAGTTTGTTTGGAGCAAGGTAATAAGCTAAATATTGACCATTTAACTGGCTTCAATATGCAAAAACACTTCAGGAATGCAGATCTTCTAAACATTGAAGAGTCACATAACAGATAGGTAGTTGATAGCACAGTGCACAGCACTATCAATAGATCTACTAGTTTTATGTCCTATAAATCTACCAGACTCTACCCTCTATACACTCCGACTAGTAGTGACTGAGTGACTGACTGCACTGTTCCCATTTAATTAAGACCAATAAACCAATACTAAACGTAAACTGAACGAGTACCAAACAAACCTCATAATAACACAAGACTTGAGTTATGAGAAAATCTAATACTGTTTGAAATAAACATGTGCACAATTCAAATATTTTATATCCATTCACTGCATTTAATTATTTTATATATAGTCTTATAATTGTAATTGCTTTGTTTCTAGTTTTAAATTCACATATTTAAAGATTGAAATTAAATATTTTAATTAGAATACTCGTATTAGGGTGGAAAATCTTTCTAATTGCCTAATAGGTCAATACAATCTCAACCTCTCAATATACAGGGTGGGGGAGAACCGATTGAGCAGTTTTGAGGTAAAATAAAAGAGTAATGGAGGTACATAAAGAAGAAAGTTCATTTTCCTAGAAGTTAGCATAACATACCATTTAGAATACTTATGTTTTGAAAACAATATCTGGAAGATGGGGGCTATTAGCTGCAACACACTGTTGGAGTCGTTTTCGTAGGAGGGAGTAACCGTGATAGTGAATTCCGATCGCTATGCTGCATTGTTGCAAAATTTCTTGCAGCCCAGGATGGAAAACATTGTTGAAAATGAAGCATTGCAAGACGTCACACTAAAGGCAACAAGTTTATATACCAATTTGTCATTTATAGTACATTTATACTAAACCATGAATAACAATACCTCAATATAAATTAAAGACTGCCACTCAATATATTTAAATATATGAAAAAATCAAAAAATCGAAAAAATCAAAAAAATCATGATTTTTTTATAAAAAAATCAAGTGATTTAATCACATGATTTAATCATTTTGATTTAATCATTGCCAACCCTGCATTAGATTGCTTTAGAACGCACAAGATCGCGTTAGAACGCAATAGATCGTGTTAGAACGCATCAGATTGCGTTAGAAAGCATCAGATCGCGTTCGAACGCATTAGATTGCGTTAGAATTTGATAGACCGCGTTAGAACGCAATAAATCGTGTTAGAACGCAATAGATCGCGTTAGAACGCAATAAATCATGTTAGAACGCAATAGATCGCGTTAGAACGCAATAGATCGCGTTAGAACGTAATAAATTGTGTTAGAACTCATTAGAATACACTAGAACGCATTAAAACATATTGAGGCATCATTTGCTTTCAACAAATTATGGAAACGGAGACGATTTTGTCAGCAGTAGCATTGGGCGCGCCATACGTATGCACATTATGATCGGGTGACAAATACAATCAATCAAACAAGCTGAAGATGCTCGCGGTGACGGCAAGGTTGATCAAGTAATCCATAGTTTATATATGCTGATTTAAGGTCGAGGTGGCTGATAGAGAGCTTGAAAAGAAGCTGATATCTCAAGCTGAAGGCCCTACTTTACAGCCTGGCATTGGAGTAGGTATTGAATTGACTATTGATGTTGAGGTACCTTCACCTGTTTGGCATTTTGCAAAAAACTGTTAACATAATTGGTGACATTAGCCTGACTTGTTAGAACTCCACCTCTATTGTGTAACCAGTAAACTGTGTTTGCTTGTAAAAGTATTGGTATAAGCACCTAGCCTATGTAGTGGAACAATTCTGAACCATGAGGTTGAAATAAATACAATTTTTTTTGGTTGGCACCCTAGTACATACCCATAACACTGTCATGTTTTTCTCATGATTTCATACTTGTCCTCTGTTTACAGGCGTGTGAGTGTACAGTCAATTGAGAAAGGGTTTGACTCCAGAGATGATGTAGCTGAATCCATTTTTCATTCATATAAGAGTCTCAAAGATCTTCTACTTGATGTGAGTATAATTAAAATTGCAGGTCATTTACTTTGATGCCTTTGTATAAATACAAATTAATTTGTTATTAATATGTAACTATATTTTGCCCATGAAGATTCAATTCTGAACAAAATTCTATATACGAATTAAAGTAGATTATCTGTGTAATTCTTGTGAGAATGGAAGTTTTGATTAGGATTTTACAGAATGACCCATGACATACCTACTGTAAACCACTTTTTATAACCCTTTTAAATTAATGATGTTTTTTTTCTTTTAATTTTATTTTCAAAGGCTGCATTTTGAATGAATTTACAAATTTTCTGGTCTAAAAAAATTATGTAGTATGTCATCATCATCAAATCTTCATTACCTACATTTCTCAGGTTGTTAAGATTTCTTATTCATCCCTACAGACCGACCTCAAGGATGTGGTAGACAAGAAAGTTTCTGATGAATCATCTTCTTCCAAAAAATCAAGCTCGGTGAGCTACTTGGCCTAGTGATGCAAAAGCTTCATATTTGGCCTTGGATTTGATCATTATTGGTACTTTTATTGTGTACAAGTTCAGCTAATTCTTTTTTATGGTGTTTGGTTCCTGCAATTTTCTTGTCTGGTCAAGGGAGGCCTGGTATGTACAAGCCAGCCTGTCATTTAGTAGGTATTGAAAAGAATAGTTAAATTTATGAAAATTTTTGGCACTTTTCTATTAAGAACTGACTTATTAGAAAGAGTATATGTACCTAGTTTTTGTTCTAAGAAAATTTATTTCAGCCTTGCTACCTATCCACCATAATATTAAAATTTCTCTTCTTTCTGTATAGTAAAACATTTGCTATTGATGTCTGGCCACATATAATTTCCCTGAAGTCATTTTCATAGCAGGTATATGGAGTACTGAATAACATTATTATGCTATTTAGGTAACAGGCCCGCTGGTGGTGCAAGTGTGCAGCATACGCAACATTTGTGTTCCTAGAACTGCTGAAGGTGGAGATGCTGTCTCTGGACGCCTCCTGCGCCTCACGCTAACAGACGGCCTGGCAATTCATCATGCGCTAGAATACCAGCCCTGTCCAGTTCTGAGGTTTGTGGAAGATAATAAATTATAAATAATTATTTATATTTTTTTTCATTACAATCACCTACAATGTCTAATCACTAACTGAAATAGAATAGGTATATTTTCTCTTATAGAAAATAATGCTTCTTTTTAGACTAACCATCAGCTTAACCCGTCTTTACCCTGGATATATAATTATACCTGAGGATTCTATCCTCCAAAACCCAGTCGGAATTCCATTCAGTTATCCCAAGTCCCATCACCCCCGATCCCGCCACCCCCGATCCCGCTACCTGCGATCCCGTCACTTCAAATCCTAGGAAGAACTCCCATTCTTTCTAGGAATTTGTTCTCATATATGCGAAAATGATTTCAGTTCTTGTGAATTTAATATACATGTACCAATTACAAAATCAATTTTCAGTTCCTGGTCAAGCAGCTCTTAACGTTTTACGATTCCTAAACATTGTCTCTCTCTATATATAAAATTCCAACTCCAGGTCATATCGCTACACGAAAAGTGTCCTGGATAGGCGTGCTAACAGCCCCCATGTATATTTCTGGCCCCGGCTTCAAACAAATGAAAGCACTAACTTTGGCACACATTTCATAGATTTGCTGAAGTATGGAACCAACATTTAAATATTTTGTCCCCCAGACCTGACACTGCTCCTGGTACCAACTCCACCATTTCAATTTTTTGTCCCCCAGACCTGACACTGCGCCTGGTACCAACTACACCATTTCAATTTTTCGTCCCCCAGACCTGACACTGCGCCTGGTACCAACTCCACCATTTCAATTTTTCGTCCCCCAGACCTGACACTGTTCCTGGTACCAACTCCACCATTTCAATTTTTCGTCCCCCAGACCTGACACTGCGCCTGGCACCAAGCTCCTGCTCATTGGTAAAGTGCCAGCTGCTGGAGGTTTTCTTCTGCTTGCTCCAAAGCACATCACTCATCTGGGTGGCCGAGTGGATGCCTTATATGAACGATGGAAGCTTACTGAGGTTAGTACTCTAACTTATCCTCTCTAGAATTTGCCTGCCAGATAGTCGATCGGGATAAAACATTTTTGTTCCAATTACTGCTCCTAATTTGTTCCTTACATCTGTAATATTGTGGTAATTTCAGTTTCTTCAATTTGTGTATCAACATTTAGCAAGAGAGCAATGCTTATTAACAATTTTCTGACTTTTCTATTTTGCAAACCTGGCCTGGAAGGATTTGAAAATTCAAATGTAGGATTCCTAATTCAGATATTATTACGTGCGAATTACACATTACTTATTATCAGGTAAAACTAAAATTATGCATGGTTTTAAATTTAAATTTCTAAGTGCAGTAATTGAAAGCATTTAGAGATTATACATAAGTATACAACTGCAAAATTAAAATAAAAAATTAATTTGAAAGTAATTTTGATGTCCCGATAAATTAAGTGATTAGTACCTAACTGGTAGCTGGCGACTCATACTTAATGACAAGGATCTTAATTTTATCATCATTTCCAGAGCATCTACTCATCTACACGCCCTGCTGCAGTCACCAACCTCGACGGCTCCAGTCCTCCACCATGGATTCCATTTGGCAAAGGTGACGCAGGCGGTGCGGTGAACGGCAGCCTGCGCGGCTTCAAGGCCCTCAAGACCGTCGTCAAAGAGACTGAGGATAACAAGGATGCATTCACCGTGCACCGCAAGCACACTGTGCAGGAGATCGTCAAAGGATCAGCTGGCGGAAAGGTAATTGTCAGTCAAAGTCACTAAACGTGATGGAGGGATCACGGAAATTACCAATGAAGATTTGTTTGAATTAAAGCGAAATGAGTGTAGGCGCCTGATTTGTCAATAAAAGTGACTGAAAATTAATATTTCGCAAGGGATTGACATGTCAGCCAGCAAGCATGTAGCTGGCAAGATTAATTACGAGCAGATCAGCATTAAAAAATGGCTAACCAGGAAATTCAGAAATAATTTGGAACTGGCAAGTAAACTGAACTGGAATGACTCAGAAAATATAAGTTTGGAAATCACCTTACAATATTCTGCTAATAATAATATGACTGTTACGTATATTCGTTACGAAGGATTTTGAATACACAATATTCGCCGTTCACTCTTATTAAAATTGGTATCATAAAGAATGATAAAAATGGTAAACTTGACTTAGAATTGCACTCAATTATGACAAACAAGCAAATTATTTATTTCCAATACAGGTACATAATAACAGTTGTATACATTGTCATTTGAATCTTCAGAATTAAAATGTGCGTACCAAATATTTGTTTCTCCTTAATCCAAAGCCAGCACCAAACTAAAACTTAGGATGCTATCTAAATGGTTATGGGTGCATAAACTATTATGTGTGCATTGTATAAAAAGTTAATTTGACAAGAAAGAATTTGCTTGAGATTTTGAGAAGAAAAACCTTGACTATCAATAGTTTAGTTTCAGGGAAACTAGTCGCCACAGGAAAGGGTTATTATTTTTTAGTTTCTTACATGATCAGTAATTTTCAAGCCATAAAATTTCCCCTAACTCGATTAAAAACAGCTCTCTAACACAACTCTCTAACACAACTTTCTAACACAACTCACTACCCGCTCGCACATTTTATTCATACTCTCACTTCAAATTGTACTTGCACTTTCAATCATACCTCCTCTTTCCTTAGTATTTGCACTCCAAGTCATACCCTCGCTTGCAACTGTACTTACAATTTTTAATCACTCTCTCTCACCTGCAACTACACCAACAGTTTAGTTACCCCTACAACCACCGTCACGCATTGTCCTTGTGGTGCAGGTGTTCGGTGGCGGACGACAAATGGCCAACTACACCAGCAGTTTAGTTACCCCTACAACCACCGTCACGCATTGTCCTTGTGGTGCAGGTGTTCGGTGGCGGACGATAAATGGCCAACTACACCAATAGTTTAGTTACCCTTACAGCCACCGTCACTCATCGTCCTTGTGCTGCAGGTGTTCGGTGGCGGAAGACAAATGGCCAACTACAGCAACAGTTTAGTTACCCCTACAGCCACCGTCACTCATTGTCCTTGTGGTGCAGGTGTTCGGTGGGGGAAGACAAATGGCCAACTACACCAATAGTTTAGTTACCCCTACAGCCACCGTCACTCATTGTCCTTGTGGTGCAGGTGTTCGGTGGCGGACGACAAATGGCCAACTCCTCAGTGGCGCGGGTGGTGGCCGCCGGCTTCCCTGCCGACGTTGCCAAGTGGGCGCTGGACAACAACCGACAGGACGTGGGCGCTGCTATCAGGGAGCTTAAAGCCGTGAGCTCATATAGAATTTTTTTTAATTTAACTTTAAAATCTGTGACATTGAATGAAGACATTTTCTGTTTTCCTTGCTTTATTTAATTTTTATTTTGATAAAATTGCCAGACCAAATTTTCTGTATGATGTCCGCTGACAAATCAGGTTGTCTCTTGCTGCGTAATTTATTTGCGTCAATTGTCAAATTTTGTTGTCCTAATTAATCGATTCATGTCCCAAGTAAGATTATTACTAAACTGCTAATTTAATGGTAAGTCTGTAGATCGTTTAGGCTGATCTAAACCTAAATTTTTTCATCAATTATTTTAATTGATTCTGATTCGATATGTACAAAATCATTATGACATTTTCATGTCAATAGATTAAAACTTAAGTTTTAATTTCTATAGTGTATACATATATGGATTTTCACTATACTGATAGTACTTGTACGTATTTTCTAAAACTTTTTTAACTGACGATGGAGCTCTTATCTGAAATGTTTTCATGAAGATATGGTGAATCTAATTGGTTTTTTCTTTGCTTTCAAATTCTTAATGTGCATCATAGTTGTGATGTCATTATTTCCCACATCTCTATTTTGATGTCTATAGTGCATTGATGTCTATAGTGCATTGATGTCTATAGTGCATTGATGTCTATAGTGCATTGATGTCTATAGTGCATTGATGTCTATATTGCATTGTTGCCATTAAGTAACTCCGTGATATTTTCATCAGGCCGCCACAGGCCAGCCGCTGCCGGCCCCGCCTCGTCGTGAGCCTCTCTCGTCAGGAGGCGGCGGCTCGACGTCCCGAGGACGAGGCAGAGGCCGTGGTCGTCGTGGTCGTGGAGGACGAGCAGGAGACTCTGACGATGAGGATGACTACGAAGCCATGCGTGACGCTCCCAGACCGTCAGGGCCCGCCTCGCTTTTTGACTTCTTCGATGCTAAACTTGCCGAGCGCAACGGTGACTTATATATATATATATATTATATTACTGTAATTGAAATTATATATTATTATTATTATTATTATTATTATTATTATTATTATTGATATTTACATTAGAATTACAATTTTATTATAGTCGTCATTCTACTCCGTCTACGGTATATATAGGTATATATGGTACTTTAGTTATCATGGCAAGCGCTAATTTCCGCTAATGAGTAGGTTATTAGTTGAGTAAATTACTTCTTATTTCCAAAGCTGCGACCACGTGTAGTAACTTTGTCACGTTGCATTAGTGTCTCAATATCCTTATCTTTAACAGTAACCTATAGAAAACTATTACTTGTTAAAAGTGTTACTATTTTCCCATGGTTAGGTATTTATTTCGTCATGATTTGTCTTAGTGTTGCATTGATTTTATTTTTTGTAATATTTTTTTTAGTTATGTTTTCATGGTAGGACGGCAGTCCTACTTAGACGGTACAAAAAACATGGATTAACGCACTACTAAATTGTAATTGAGAACTTAATTCAAGATAGGTCCTCGTAGGAGTTATATATACTACTACCTACATTCATGACAGCCTTTAAATTTATCAATTATAGCGTTGAAGAAAGGTTTCGATTGTCAGGTTGTGAAGTCGCCTTAAGTTTAGCAGATAATTTCGAATAAAACTCGTACGCCTCTAGGATCACCACCGACTTTAGGGCGATTGGTTTCGTGCCGCGAATATAAAGGTTAAATTGCACTCAGTAATTTTTTCATCGAATTCATTCATGTTCTTCCGTACTCAATCTTTTTTGTACTCAATGTTCATTTGAATATTGCACATTGTAAATTTATCCACTGGCCAGTATATTTATTTATTATCGTATTTTAACTATCCTTATCATAACAAAACATTTTCTGTGCAGAAACCATTCAGTTCGTTGAGCCTCTCAGTGACGTTAGAGGCGTGATGTACGAAGGCCGCAACACTGACAACAACAACAGGAATGACAGCAACAGAAACAACAGCCGTGGCACCGACCCTCGAGGGCGACGTGGTCGAGGAAGTCGGGGCTTTGGGAGCGCTAGAAACACGGCGCCCCGAGACAGGTGAGCGGGGACAGCTTTTTTCCATGGTAATGTGAATAATTTTTTTCTTGAGTCATTGAATGGCCCCTAATGTTTCTAAGTGTCATGTCCGTAGCTGTTCATCCTATGATAACTGTTTAAAATTTTACTATGAAATTTAAGTTTTAAAATATTTTTGAATATAACTTCAAATACAATGTTGCAGGTACGTTAGTCTTGTTCTGTTGATTTTTCTTACTATATTACCTGTGCCCGTGTGCCTGGAACTTGAACGTGTATGTAGAATTACTTTTAATTAATATACCATTCAATATGGGTCCTGAAGAATTGTTGTTTCTGGATAACCCTTCAATAATAATTTTTTCAGTCCACCCCCTGATCTGAGCAACCCCATGGCTTGGCCGGCCCCTGGGGAGGAGGTTCAGAAGCCGCGCCTGGACACGAAGACTTCGTACCTGCAGAGCAAAGCTCGCCAGGAGGACCTAGAGGAGCAGGAGCGCGAGCTTGAGCGCATCGCGCGCGAGGAAAAAATGCGCGCAGCGAGAGAGAGGAAGGGAGAATTGCCCATCACTCTGCGCAGGGGGGAAGGAAGGGGAAGGGAGAACTGGAATGAGAGCTACAGAGGGGGAAGAGGTGGAGGCCCTAGAGGAGGTAGAAATGAAAGGGGAAGTGAATATTCGATGAGAGGTGAACGGGAACACCTGCGAGGCAAAGGAGATCGAGGAACAAATTTTCGAGCTGATGAAAGTGATAACGCCAAAGCAAAATTAAGTTATAACGTAAGGGGAAGTGGAATGTATGATACATCACTGAATAGGAGAAATGACAGAGAAGGAGGATTCGACAACCATGTTGCTAAAAGTGGAAAAGATGCCAGTGGAAACAACTCTTTTCGGGGCCAAGTTAACAATAAATTCAGTGACCGCGCTGAAAAAAATGAAGTCAACGAAAGCTCAACGTCTCGAGACGACGGGCGTTCGGACCAAAACAATTCTGCCGGCGGCCGGTATGGCTCGTACAACCAAAATCCACCACAACACAATTCTTACGATAACTCGCGCTCACAGCAATACCATGAACACGACCAAACAACCTCAAATTATTATGGTTACTCGCAAAATAAGTCACGGAACGGCTTTAAAGGAGATCGAGGTTCCCATGGTGGTGCTCCAGGATACCGCGGAAGCTTTGGCGGACAGGAACTTGATAAGAATGCGCATGGACGCCAACAAGGATCGTTCAGAAGCGGTCAGGGCAACCAAGGAGGACCACGAGAACCCTATGGGGGCTTCCAAGATCCATATGGCGGAGCTTTCCAAGATTCCTACACGAGTTCACGCAAGTCTCAAGGCGGGGATAATGGCTCATATGATAATTCCCAAGGCTATTCCTACCGCGACAATCACGCTGCAATAAACAGGGAACCTTACGGGGATTCTAGAGCGCCGTACTACAATTCTGGTCCTCGCGAGGGCTATAATCCTGGTGGGCACCGAGGAGGTTCGTATCGTGGATCCTACGATGGAAAATACGGCGAGTCCAGGAGCTCATATAACCTGCACGACGGAGGTTCGAGTGATGGCACTCGTGGTGCCAGAGATCCCAATTCAAATCAGAGCCAAAAGCGCGGCTTCGGAGGCTTTTATCAAGGTTTGTATCACGGATGGCTACGATGGAAGCAATTTGGTTCATAAATTTTTTTAAGTTTAAAATCAAAGCAAATGTTTTGTTGCTGACATTAGGGCATGATAGATTATACTAAGTTTAATGAAAGGTATGTTCTTGCAGTTGCAATGCTAAAGTTTAAGAAACGAGTGCTCATTTTTTATCATGGCACTATTTCATGTTTGTGATGCTTCTTCCGGTAATTGGGAGCCGTCGAACATTATGATGAAATTATGTGAGATGAACAGTTGGACCATCACTGAAAATGGTCTTTTTTATATCAAGAGTTAGCTTTTCTCTAATGGTGTCAAGCAATACATCCATATGTTATTATCATCCATGGTTATTATTTATATTATGGAGAGCAAATGAATATGTCTTCAATGCAGGAGGTGGCAGTTACGGTGGCAGCACTGCAGGAGGTGGCAGTTACGGTGGCAGCACTGCAGGAGGTGGCAGCACTGCCGGAGGTGGCAGCTATGGTGGAAGCACTGCAGGAGGTGGAAGCACTGCAGGAGGTGGCAGCTATGGTGGCAGCAGTGCAGGAGGTGGCAACACTGCTGGAGGAGGCAGCTACGGTGGCAGCACAGCAGGAAGTGGCAGCGCTTCTGACAGTGCTCGCTACACGCGTGATCAAGAGCAGCTTATAGAGCAGTTCAAGATGAGCGTTCAGCTTCAGGGCTACACCGGCTACTCTGAGGTCAGAGTCCTGGACGATAACTGTTTTATGTTGAATATAATAGTATATAATTCAATATAATTATAATATATAATCATATTGAATATTGTACTAAGACAGATATAACTAAAACTGATAAAGATTATGTAGTACTAAGATCTGAGTTGTATTTACAGTAGAGTAATGTTTACATTTAAAAATTTAGAGGGCTACAGCAGTAGAAACATCTTTTCCACTAATATGATATTAAAATAAAGTCTCTTTTGTTATTTACCACTGAAATTTCGAATATCTCCATTAAAAATTTGTATATTGCTGCTTGTATACTTCCTCAAAGCCGCTCAAAAATCATACCCAACCAACTATTTAATAAATTTTTCATAGTTTTCAGCGTATGATTTGTTGTCATAGTAGTGTTGTTGATAGTAACACCAATGACAATGGTCTAGCAAAGCATTTGGACGTGTTTTCGCTGTTTTTCTAAAGAACGATTAATGAATAAATTTTGAATAGAACGATGGATATTTCTTAAAGAAAAATAAATATTTTTTAAAGAAATATGTATCGGTCAATGGTTAGCAAGTTGCTTGTTCAAATTTGTTGTCATGGGTGACCGAAGCGCTAGAGTTTATTGAATATGTTTTACTCTAGAGTTTCCTGATATTTTTGTGTTGAGCTCGCACTAGAACTTGTTGACTCTAAGGACGTTGACAAAATGTTCTATTTTTCAGATACAGGATCACCGACCACACAGCTCTCGCGGATCCCGAGGTATTTTTATTATGGATTATTTGTGAAGGTTTTATTTAATTTCACACCTTTACGTGCAGGTTTTCCGTGACATTAGTTGGTGTACACGCATCGCTCGACATCTGTAGTTCTTGGTCACCTTACCAAGTGGAATTTATTTGTTTGTTTCACTGATTTATGGCAGTTCAATTGGAAGCAATTTCGAATTGTGTTATCTGATCTGAAATTATGAACACATATATTAATTATAGTTATTAGATTTATCTGTCCTACCTGTCTTCGAATGATGTATGCAGATCACAGTGATTAGATTGGGTGTAGAATTGTGTGTTTCTACATTAAGGAATGTTAGAGCGTAGAGAAATGTTAGAGTGCAGAGGAATGTTTGATTGTAGAGGAATGTTAGAGCGCAAAGGAAATAACAAACAAAATAACTTCCGCTAATAAATCTAATGTATGCAATAGAAGGTGCAGTTTGAAACTAAGATATATGTCGATCTTGCTGTAAAAGTTGTCCTATTATCCAATTAACATTTCGCATAAATCCATGTTAAGCGTAAATTCATTGATTTATTGGAACTCATTTATTATGCTAGATTGTTGTCTTATGCCCAAATCTTTCTAATGACAGTTATTAATTCATGACGATCGAAATTTTAATTAAAAGCACAAGCCATGCAAGACATTATTCAGCGCGTGCTAGGCATGCTCTATAACATCGAATTTTTATTATGTAATATGCAATAATGAATATATATTTATGTTATACCGTAATGTGTGATAATGAAATTATATCTGTTATAATTTAATGTATGGAAATAACATACGTCTATGTTATAATGTAATGTTTAGCAATGTACAATGGCTTAATCCCCTCCCTTCCTCAGGCACGTTGGAGTTTCGTCGTGGGGGATATCGAGGCTACGGTAACCTCCACCCCTAACGCTGTGACGTTGTGGTGTCGACGTTATGACGTGGCGGTCGTAACGCTGTGACGTTGTGGTGTCGACGTTATGACGTGGTGGTCGTAACGCTGTGACGCTACAGTGTATCGGTTATAACGCTATAACGTACACCAAAGCTGGTTGCCTGTAATTAATTCATCACAGTTTCTTTCTGATAAATGTATAGACCAACCAGTTTGTCATAGACGCTAACTTTAATGCATACCCTCAATTTCCTTGATGCCATGGCGACCGCATTCTTACTATTCAAAGTAATTTGTTTTTCAAAGGACCATGGTTGCCTGGTTGCCATATTTTTCGCAATATTATTTAGAAACTTCTCGATCTCAGTCAGTACCCTATTTCAACTTTCTTTCATCCTCAGGTCATTTTTCTCAATTTCAGCTCGATCACAAAGATACCTAGCCTATAAGTAATTATGCTATACCGTCTAAGGCCATGTCAATGCCTCAGACTACCGGGTAACATTTTGCGTAATTTCCAATGCAATGTAACTTTTAGTTAATGAAATTAGTTAACTAGTTCGCTATCTTTACTACTACACTTCGTTTGCTACCTGCCTGCCGAGTAGCTCATGCCTTACAGCAAGCACTTAACTAACTTGTATGCAGAACAGGTTCAACTAAAATGATACTTTCATTGAAACTGTTCCTTTTACAAAAATTTATTGTCGCGCTTGGATTACATAACGGAAGCTTAATAACGGCTTGCCTACTTAACACGTCCCGTGTACATTGCTTTCTGTGAAGAGTTTGTTTTTGCTTGTATTTCATTTCGATTGTCATTTAATCTCCAATGCAGGAGATTTGCTCTGTACGACTGCTTGTAAAATATTGTTAATTTATTGGAATTTCATTCCATCTGCAATCATTTTTGATCTGTAACTTCCTTTAATCTAACATTGTGTTTAAAAAGCAGTGCTTTGTGCCGATATTTATGAGATTTTTATTGATAACTTTTTGTCTCAATATACTCAGTGGCACCTTATCCATTCTCACTCTTCTTGATCATTCGGCTATAGCCCCTAAACTTTTTATATGTTTGAAAGGCGAAGTCAGGTTTAACGGGCGACAACTAAATTTTGCCCATAAGAAATCACTCCGGAAAGTTTGTATACGATTTTCGCACGATTGTTGTTTAATCGTTACGAAACTAATTCGGGGGTATAAAACACGAGCTTGAATGAGGCCCACTTAAAGATGCCGCACAAACCTTTGTATGTGTTCAGTAAAATATCAATTTTCTGTATTCGTTATCATTCTTCCTTGATGTCGCAAACAATTCGTTTCTAACAATTGTTATAGCGCAGCCCAATTGTCAGCTAATTTAGGTCTATGGGCGCTGGAAATGATATGCATGTCCAAGTGTGCAGTATTATGTGACAATACAGATTCCGAGCCAAAAATTTAAATTATGAATGTAAAAGGTAAAAATCGTTGGATTTAAGTTTTTCATAAAAAAATCAACGAATAAATGGGAACTGTTTGCTGCCTGCGACGAGGCGACGCTCGTGTCATGACGAACAGCGCCTAATGAGAGTGATGGATTCCTGCAGCGTCTTTTTGGTGACAAACTAAACCATTTCTGATCCACACGACGTTCCCAGCTGAGCATATCCTTATTTCTCTGAATTTAGAAGCCATAGCATCAGGTTTGAGGGAAGGGGGAACAATTCACCCCAATATTCGAACGAGGATATAAAACTTCATATTTTACGTATGTTCGATTTGATGCTTTGAGAAGGTGTTTTACTAAAAAAAATAGCTCAACGATGTTTTTTTCTGCTAGCGTTGGGAGATCAAAATGCTGGTTTCCGAAAGTCCTTTTCATACATTTAAGAAAATTTGGGCGTTAAGTACGTCAGAATGTATATTCTCTATATTTCAAACCTTTTTGTCATTTGATAATGAACGTTGCTACATCCGAAGCGTCAGCAATATACCTAATAAAATGTCTTTCGAGAACATCTTTTTGATTTTCCAATGTCAGAACAACATCGTTGGACTACTTGAAAACAAATACTTCAGAAATGCAATCTCTTTTCTTCAATTGCAACTCGTATAAAAGTACAATTACTGCATCTCCTACTAAAAAATCTTAATCTATGAATAATTTAGAGTATGGATTCTACTAAATATTTTGCTTATATGCTCTATAGCCTTTTTCGGCTGCCGAGTAATCATTTTTCTTGCATTTTGTCCCTAGCATATGTTTATTAAGCTGCTTAATATGAATTTAGAGGCTCTCTTAATACAAAACTTGCAGATTTGACCATCACGACGTTCAGTTCGTTCTTTTTAACGACTGTCATCAATGATTGTCTGGTGAAAGTGCGACGCATTCGTACACTTGATGACGTTCAATAACACCTTCATCAACTGCAGAGTTGGTGGTGCGCTTCGTTGTATACTCAATGAAATGAGTGAGTTGAGGTGACTCGCCGGGGGGCCAAGGCTTGTCTTAACATCTACAAAGTCTAGTAAATCTCACATGAGTACGTCTCGATTCGGCTCATTAATTATTCAAGTGTGGTAATTGTAAATCGAATTGGTGCGAAATTCAATCGCAAGTGTGTCAGAACGAGGCATTAAAGTGAATGGCTGCGTTCTGCGTCAAGTGAGTCAGGTTCATTAGAGTGTTGCTGAAAATACAATACACTTAATATATCATGGTATGATTCATACAATAATTTCATCTACGACCTATGCTATGCAGAAAATTATAATTATTCAGAAATTGCCTCCACTTCCAAAACAATTTCATTCGCCCGGTAAAACTAAATTTCTTCGACGTTAATTAAAAAGTTCAAAGTTTTAGTTCAAAGTTCCGTTACTTCATAAGTCCCGCTTACATTTTCTCTTGCATTTATCTAGATTAGTTTTATATTTAGTAACTTTTAATTTAGTGATTTTCTCATTTGCGTCTCAATCTCGTGCGCAGTTGCATTCAGTTGTGTTACTACAAAGCAGTTGGGATCCTCATGCGCCATTACCTACATTGAAAAATTTATGGGAAGCGCTTAAAAAGCCAAACACATATGGTTTTAAGGGTTTTTCATTTTTTTAATGCAGCACGTATAGACCATAGTCTTAATTTGTGACCTCTGTTACTGCAAACAATGAATGCTATAAACTAAGTGTTACTTTGTGGAAAAGTATAGCATAATTATCTCTCATACTTCCTTGTCGTTGGTTTAAGATCATTACTGAATGTTATCTCACTAACGAGTTGTTATCGCAAAGGTTTGGTTGCGTTCAGTGATATAAAATTCAAATTGAAAGGCTTCTTTTTTGTCCATTACGACCTGCTAAAAAAACATGAATGGAATGGAGCCTTCTTTTCGTTGGTTTTCTTTTTCTTCTTCAATTTAATTGAAATTTTTATTTGCCCTCGTTTAATGCAGCCAATTCATGAGGTAGAAAGAAAATTATCATCATAATTCTCAAGGTGCATTAAAAAATTGAATAAGATTGAGTTCCAATCCTGACTCCTTTGCGTTCTGTTAAACGCTTCACTGGATACGTCGTTACCTAAACAAAATGCAAGCCAAATTGATTTACTTAACAAAGGTGGGCAAAAAAATCCAGGAAACTCCATTGCATATAGGGCACGTTCACCGCCTCGCTCGAGCGAGAGTTGTATTGACTCACACATTTTTGTGAGTGACATGGTTGAGCTGGTCTCGGTGCTACGCATGCCGTGCCATCAATAATAAGGCAGCAGTTAACCCGGCCGTGTCAGTCTCACTGTCTTCGATTCTCTGCAAATTCTATGAAAAAGCGAAGGGTCAGAGCCGCGACCGTGGGAACTACGCCACCTGCTCGTGCCAACACTTAGCAGATGTGTCATGTGCATGTGCTAAAATACGTACATGTTAGTGTCAAGTGCCTGTGCTAAACTACGTTCACGTTCGTGTAATGTACTTGTGCTAAACTACGTACATGTTCGTGTCATGTACCTGTGCTAAACTACGTACACGTTCGTGTCATGTACTTGTGCTAAACTACGTACATGTTCGTGTAATGTACTTGCGTTAAACTACGTACATGTTCGTGTCATGTACCTGTGCTAAATTACGTACATGTTCGTGTCTCGTACCTGCAGCGCGTGCTCGTATAAATAAATTTTTCTTAGTTTTCAATACAGGCATTGAAGCATGGAGGAAATACATAGTTTATTACACGTTCTCAATACGTTATTCGTACGTGTGCCATGTCAGGAAAGTAAATGTGAATATCACTACAGTACATTTGTCATATGGACAGTTTCAAAATTTTTTTTAAAAACAATAAAGCTTAATATCTATTAATATTTAAAGAAAGCTAATACTAACACTTTGAGCAGCCAAAACAATGACAGCAGAATCAATGTGAGATAATAAGTAACGTATTAGGTACGTAGTGAAGGTTTTGAAGACTATCAAAACAAGAGTTAACTTCAACTACACATTCAGCCATATCGATTGTTAACATACATTAATATTATATTAATAATAAATTCCGCGTATTAAACGTGAGTAGATACAGAGATTTCTAATATTGTGGTACGATTTTTCAGCGCATCTGATGAAAAATTAGTTCACTGTTAATACGCTATTCATACCTGACGATATAAAAATCTCAACTTTATCTAAGCTCAGCTTTGTTCAATTTAAGCTAAGTTTTTTTTTACTTTTTAATGTGTGATGTGACTTTCGTTGGGCGAATGTGCTTCCATTGTTACTCACGATGCATGACCATCGATCTAATATGCTAGCTAATATTCGATCTAATTTTAGATCGAAGGTTCGATCATGTTTGCATTATCGAAATGTTAACCCGCTATTTTTTGGTGGCTCGCTTTTTCAATAAGCTATTGAAATGGGTGTATCCGAATAAGATTTTAAAATATCTACAATAGATATAAAATTCCCTGAAAAATTACTCCACCAATATTTGACACCAATTTGTAAATGAGCCGTTATCTAATATACTTACTTGATATTCACACACAAAGCAGCATTAATAATCAAAATATAACGTCACGTCGCTTGCACAAAAATCTTCGCTGTATCGATAATAACAACAGAAGGCAGCACCAAGTCTCTGGTCGAGCACGGCTTGACTCGTAATAATAATTCTATTTCAACACGGCACCACAATTACAAGTGACAAAGGACAAATATGTGCCCCATTGAGTGAATGAATCACGCTGGCCTTTTGGCAAGGGTCGCCACGTAAACATGGCTTCCCGCTCCATGAAAAGGCGAACTGAGGCACAACATTTGTTAGGTCAATATACGTTCAATAGAACCATTGCAAAGCGGAAATATAATCATCAATAGTAACTGAACTGAATGGGACAAGCTTCATTGCTGTGTGTTCAACACAGTTGCTGTTCGCATCGGGAGCAATATTTGCCACCGTCTATTACCAAATTTTAGACGCGCAAACTCTTTACAAAAGCTTTCGGGAGTCACCGACAGCGTTGTGATTTCTAAAGAATTTCGTTAACTATTAATTCATTGCCTCGAATTCAGTAAAGAGTCCATGAATATTTCGCCTCAACTAAACGATGTGTTTTCTGCTGAAATTATAATCTGCATTTCTGTGGCCGACAGATTTTAGATCGCAATCTTACTGCCTTTCCACTGAAATTCCTGCATGCTCGCCTATTGATCGTTTTCAGTTCGCGAACTTCTTGAAAACGCATGCATAAACACACGCACGTTTTATTGCACATTATTTCACTGCAGAAATGTTATACTGCCACTCTCAAAAGTTAAATAATTCAAATATTCTTCTAAAAACACGTTGCTGTTCACACCGACTATACTCCAGTTGTCACACAAATGAAGACAGTTAACGACTAAGGTATAACGATTATCAATAAATCCGTAATTTATTTTCTGTGACTTTGGCCTCCTATAACATTAATTCATCAAGCAGAACGTCAATGTCATATTAATCGGCCTCACAAATAAACTTCTGAAAATATTGACCTAATTCATTACGCTTTAAATTCTCTCAGATACAGTACTTACAGATTCAGCAATGTTATTCATCGAAGGTTTAAGCTTTCGATGATTTTTTTCTTGCGTTGATATTCATGATACAGAAGTTCGTATTGCTCCCTAAGTTTACTGTTCTCAAGTTGCAGTACCACAGTTTTGATCGCGATGCGGTCTTCCTTCTCCCTCCTCGCATCTCTCGACTTCTTGGCCGCTTCGTTGTTACGTTTCCGTTTGGCTTCTGTTGCGTCATCCGAAGTAACGTCGCTGCCGTCAACACTCACTGGGCTCGAAGGTGACGCTGCTATGTACGTCAGATTCACGTGCTTTTGCATCAGATTATCTGGCTTTTGTACTTCACTTTCTCCTACTTTTGTGTCGCACTGGACGACATTTGAGACAAGAGAGGAATCTGAGGTTGCGTTTACTGGTGGCAGCAGCAGTGGAGGGAATCCTTCCCCAAGCCACGATGGAAACAGGGGATGAAAATTATGAAATGGGAGCGCCGGCAAAATCGGACGGTAATTTGGCGTTACGTTTTCCGTTTTCACGACGGAGAACCGGCTTTGTCCCGAGCGAGCTTGATTAAAATTCGGGAAAATCATTGGCGGCATCTCCGAGTTCCCACTGGAACTCAGTGGCAATCTCAAACACCTGTTGTCGCTAATTTTTTTGGAGGGAAAGGTTTCTTCGGAATGCTGATATCCCATTCCTCTATCTCGATTAAAAGATGGAAAAGAAAGGGGAAAGAAACTGTTAAACTTTGTGGCGTTTAACTCTGTGGATTCGCACTTTGAAGCGTCGAACTTGGTGGCATCGAACTTGGTTGCGTCAAACTTGTTGATGTCGAACTTGGTGGCATCGAACTTGGTAGCATCGAACTTGGTAGCGTCAAACTTGTTGATGTCGAACTTGGTGGCATCGAACTTGGTAGCTTCAAGCTTGTTGATGTCGAACTTGGTGGCATCGAACTTGGTAGAGTCAAACTTGTTGGTGTCGAACTTGGTGGCATCGAACTTGGTAGCGTCAAACTTGTTGGTGTCGAACTTGGTGGCATCGAACTTGGAAGCGTCAAATTTAGTGGCATCAAACTTGGTAGCGTCAAATGAAGTGGCGTCGAATTTGTTTTTCTCGATGTCTTCGTGAAACCGACGTTTATTTGATTTTTTTGGTACAACTTCATCCTCCTCCGGCGCTAGCTGCGCGCTCTTCGTCTCTTCGCGTTTCCATCCCAACTCAGAATGTTTAGTCAAAGTTTCTGGGTCCATAAATAAAATGTTCAGTAGCAGCGGATCAAAATTCATCTAGATATTTATCTTGCTCTCCTCACTCTTGACACAGGCTTGCAATTTGGACCGCTGAACTGTAAATTATAAATATCATGTCAGTTACATTGCCATATATACCATTTTACCCTATACTCAAACCATACAATCATACATAAACATTACCATATATGTTCTCACGCTGTGTTGCTGACACTGAAATTCAATTTCAAAAATTCCAAAAGTCACGTTGGATGTGCATACCATTTTTATTCGTACATGAAACATGATCAAACTATCGATGACTTGTCAATCCGAATTAATTGTATGTTTAATGATCATTTGAGATTTTAATTAACCATTAACCGTATGGTGGCATTAATCATACGCATTGGAGGTTATGATACCAGTTATATATAGCACGGTAGCTAGGACTCGAATTTAGTTACATTGATTCGGGTACAATTTTACATGAGCGCTAAATTTGCAATTTTTTATCATGCAGTAAACTATGAAAAAGTTTAGAAATGCGTGGTAATTAATTGGAAGCAAAAAAATTGCATTTATTTCTGTTGTCTATATTTTTTTATTTTCTTTTAAGGAGTGTGTTAGCTGCTTGCGACTATCTTGAGTAAGCTTTACAATGGCGGGAGGCTATAAATGAAATTCATGTTATTTAAACATGACAGCAATCCATGAGTTTTATGTTCATGATATATTCGCGTCAAGTTCAGACTGATGTTTCTCGTTGTCTATTCAATCTTCGCTCGCTATCAAATTATAATGGCCATTTTTTCTTCCCACTTCGAAAAGCATAGCTCTTGCTCATAGCGAAAAGCATAAACTCTTGAATTAATGAAAATAATGACTGACTTCAAGGATATAATCACGATAGGATATCAAGGATAGCATTCAGGCCCGAGCTACGAGTTTGTTATCATAAAGAAAAGAAGCCCAGGCGCTTCAAATCCAGCGTCATAATTATCCTGCATTAAGTTGAACTTTACGAACCCTGAGACAGCCAGCGCTCGAGACTGAAAAATGAATGTTTATTGTGGGCTTACGAAGTCCATTAAGTCGAGCGACAATTCTTGCAGCGATGATAACTCTGACCTCGCTATCTCAGGACAAATGTTAGTTTGCATTTCTTTGTGCTTGATAACAAGGCACCTTGGAGCCCTGAATTGTATACAACATTAGGTACAAATTAGGGACAGTAAATTTTAATTGTAAGTAAGTTGTCACTCACGGTAATTTGCATTTACAATAATATGACCAGAATGGAAAGCTAGTGTTAATTTGAACTTCTAGAACCGTTATTGATGATTTAGTTTATTGATTGTCGCTTCTTGATTAATTTTGTTTAGACATTACAACCCGGAATGAAAAGCATGTTTACCGAAACCAAAATAAAGCCTTCCAAGCGTATCGTCAATATTTTAAATTGTACAAGGGCTAAAACAAGCCAAATAATTTACTGCTGTAACAATGCACGGCACACTCCATAAATAAGTTAGCCATGTACTTAAATTCACTTTCAGTCTGTCGTATTTCAGAATTTTTTTAACATATTTAATGTTACGAAAAGGCGCAGTGAAATATTTCGTCTCTCATATTAATAATTTTAAGCATCTCACCTTACATGCAAACTCCTTACATCGAATTCTAGAATTTTTCGATAGCTTTGAAGTTCGTAACACACACAGAGGCCACTGAAGCACCACCCTCGTGTCATGACCTCCCAGCCCTTAATGACCGGCCAATCCGGACTCAGGCTGCGCTTGTTGACCGCAGAGGCGCCGTAGCGAGGCTGACCTCGTAGACGCGTGAGTGAACACGGCCGCATTCAGCCATCAGCTGACTTTTATTCAGGTAGCTTGAATGAAAACTTCCTGTCGTTTCTTTTCAAATAGCGTAATTCTTATGCTTGTGAATTCTACTATAACTTATGAAACAATTTTTGAAAATTTTTGAAGTCAGATGAATTTGTGAATATTTCCGGAACCAGCCTTGGAACAAACAAACGTGCAAATAACTCCAAATTCACATTCTGAAAAATATGATGGCTATCCAAGCACGTTTATATATTCGTCAAAAATTCTTCGTAATTAAACACATTTCAATTAGTTGAGATTTCACCTCCATTTCCTGATTTTATAAACAAATAGTTCCACTCTTTTTACGGATAGATCTTCGCAAACCTCAACGTGCCTACAGGCAGTAACACTACATTTTGCCTCTCAAACTTTTCCGCTTCATATTCTTGCAATCGAAATTGGGTTAAATACACTGATTAAGCTCATATGGCCGTAGAACTTTATAAATAATTGCACCGTTGTAGGTCCTTCGTATCATGCAAGTTACAGAATTCTACAGAATAACGTATCAAAGTATCCTGATCCGCTGATATGAAATCTTGCACTTTTCAACGCTGCTGAATTCAGGATTTTAGTAAACAACGGTGCTCCTGACGATTTACCCTAACAATTTTCTGTCGCCTACTGATGAATTTAACCACCGAAATTTTGTTAAAAATCCAATATGAGTGACAGGCAATTCAAGTTCATAGTTTACTCTCAATCTAACTGCGATCGTACAACGTATTGCTTTTTTTATTTTTCTAATCATTTGAATTCATTTTCACAGTAGACCGCCAACGTACACGCGATGAACCCTAATCACGTGAATGATGAAACAGCTCAAGGAAGCAACTGCATTTCTAAAAATCAAATTTTGTTTCGATGCAGCAAACGACTTTCAATTTTGAAATCTGAATAGGTTAAAGAAGATGACCCATGAGACTGTGGTAATTCTCTGAATGGCGTATGTTAAATGAATAATTGGAATAAATGTGAATAATTTATTCCAAAGATCTATTGTCTAAGGATATATTTTCGACTTTCTAGGCTAGTAACACGACTTCCGCCAATAGATGAATGATCGCAATACCTATAATCAAAAATACGTCCCGGCAAATTAAGTTCAAGGGTGGAATGCGAACGTTTATCCCAATATTCTCTAACACTTAGAACTAAGGATACATAACTGCAAGTCTTCACACGCGTATAAATCTGAAGTGGTCTACCCCTAGACTCATAAGCATGCTTTTCATTGATCAAATCCTATTAATTTCCACCTATAATTTGTCTGTGAATCGGTCAATCATGACCGATTATCTAATTCATATCCAAGCAATGCAGCATGAATTAGAGCAAATTTTTGAAACTCGCAAAAATTAAATTTATGCATTAGCAAGCAAGGTATTTAGGAAGGCCCGTATTTCCATGAGAAGTGACTCGTCCAAACCAATAGATTTGAAGTCTTTAAACTGTGCAGACCTGCGCGTTTGTTCAAGGTATTCTTCAACCGCGTGAGTATATTCTTCGTTAACCAAAAACTCACAACACATTTTCTTGAAAACTCTGTAGATCTCCCAGGCGTCTTCTTGGTTAGAACTTTTACCGTGGCTTTTGTTGCTTTCAATGAGGGGCCAAAAGGGCCATAATTGACTTGCTGAAATCACTTCCTTTACTTCAGACTCCGAAGCTGAAGTTCCTACTTGGTTTGCGCTAGTGAATGATGGACTGGAGGCTAGAGGTGGTGTTGTGGGTGAAGGTCCGCTTGATGTAAGAAGCTCTACTAACTTATTTTGATCCAAATATAGACCCAGCGACCTTGCACTAGTTGGACCTGTAATAAATGCCAAAGTTTGTTCGAGATTGAAAAATAAGAAAGGAAATTTGACTCAGTTTTTCACTGATTAGGTCAAAGAATATAATTGTTCGTAGCAATCGTCCGATGAACATTTATTAAAATTATTTTGTGTTTAAAAATAGCCAAAATTTTGAACCAAGATACCTCGCTTCCCAAGGAAGTTGCAAGCATTCTATTAATTCTCTTGCAATCGTTCATTTGAATAAGATTACGTGTTCAATTTTTAATCATGAAATTTGGAAGGTACGGAAATTTCGTCGCATTTAATCGATGATCAAAGTGTTGGTATTACTGTCGATTATTAGAAGTTGGTCCGACTATGGCAATCGTGTACACGTCCAAGTTTTAACTAATTACTGTGGAGCAAATGTTATAAAAAATATTTAAATAAGTAATAAAAATGAGGTAGAAAAATTCCAAATTTGCACCTCTACTGGTTTAAACCTTGCAAGTATTTCTGCACTATAAAACATATTAGATGTTGCACAAATAATATCAAAAGATATAAAATGCTTTTTCATCGGTAATCTCATTTTAATTAATTGATCGATGATCACTTGATACAAATATGATTTATAAACTATACATTTTAAAACTAATTCTAAATTCATACAAAATTAAATAGCATGCTGATCATTTCCACCAATTTTTCCCTCGTGCGCAACATTGCGTGACGCACACATGACGTGTGATGACGTTTACCAATAAGAAGGCCGTCTTCAACAGTGTGAACAATTTTCATAACCATGGCAAAATATTTGCTATGATAACGCGCAAAAACTTTCACATTTCTATATCAAAGGAAGAACTTCCGTGTAAATGCCACTAATAAAGCAAACTGAATAAAGGACATCATATTTTAGCAGCAAGGATTATCGCCGTTAGATTCGTCGCCAGTTAATAATGTAATGAGAATATTAATTAACAGCAGCCACATGCATAATGGCTAAATGACCTAGCAGGCTAGCGCGTAAAATCTGTGTTCACACTTCGAAGTTTAAATTTCATTTTGGCTGAAGTCACTGTTCAGTTAGTTTGATTGTTGAGAGAAGAAGATCTTATTCTAGAACGAAATTATGTCTTACCGAAAAGCGATACGAAGCTCATTAATAACAGCAGATTATTTCTCTTAGGAACGATCGCGTGCACCATCGTAGCGGTTTCCAACGCTCTTCTCAGCTGATCGTAATTTGGGTCATCGTTGTGCTTTGTCCTCCCTTCTTTCCGTCAAATCCTAATGTCCAAATTTTCACGTCTTACTTTTTTTCGTTTCATTTTAGCATGTTCAAAAGGAATATTTAACGACTCAAATATTGTTCAGACATTCTCCGAATGACATTCGTGTTTCTCTAATTTACGATTTTTAAAAATTCACATTTTCTTCATTTGTTTTATTACAATCATCTTTTTTACCGTTATAGCAGAGCGTTAAAGATAAAAAAACTGGCAGACTATGTTGAGTGCATGGAAGCTAAAACGACGTACTCGGCTTTTAGTTCAAACGAATAATACTCCTTTTAAGGTCTATATTTAGAACTACTTAAAGCAGTGTGAAGCAATTGAGAAGGCCCATTCCAACACCCTTGTCTTGAGCAACTTGTTGCCATAATTACTGATTTCTACGAGGGCAATTCTTTCCAAATTATTGCTTGGTATCCATATATAGTATAATTAATCGGATGTAGCAGCCCTAGGCCACGCTTGCACGCCACTTCCATTGTTTCAGTGTTTCATGGTTTGATTTAATATGGTGTTTCAGGTATTCATTTATTATTGCAATTTATCATATTCGCTGTGTAGTAAGGATTACTTAACAACAGATTTGAAGAGTGGAAGTATTTTATTAAGAGTAGATTGAAAATCTTTTTGGCGAGAATTGCTAACAATTCTGCCTGCCACTTTTATTTCTCAAATTATTCATGAGTTGAACTTTATAGCTTATTCTTGTATTCGAGCTTCTTCCGAGACCACAGTTTCTCTCTAGTGGTTTATCTCGAAATTTCTCTGACTTCGAGGCTCCATATTGAAAAAGTTTGCCATATGATTGCCATGACCGAGATTTGCGTACCTCATATTCCGAAAATAACTTTTGTTTATTGGATAGTAACGTTGCAAAGTTTTTTAATGTACCGTGATTATATTTCATGATGATAATTTCAATAAAGGGCTTCTATAATACCAAGATATGAGTTCTTTAAAAATTATCTTTGTTCTTGATGACCATGCAATTAAAAGTTTGAACAAAAATTTGAAGTTGTGCAGAAATTTGCATTATTTTAAAGTTTATAAAATTTAGATAAATTTTTATGCTAAAAAAACGTTATTTTAATACAGCGGGATTTAACCTGACAACCTTTAAAGAAATTAAATCCTGGATTTTTTTTTTAATTTGTCATTTTTTGACAGGCTCGTCAATGAATCCATCAGAGGCCTTAACCAACATGGTCTGGATCAGCCACAAGCGTTGTTTACGCCTCCTCAGAAACTGCGTGAGATGAAGCTGTGGCAGGCGAGCAGGCGAGTCTGTGTCAACACAGGCGGAAAAATTGTGTACATGATCCATGCAGATCCTGCGGGGCCCTAGTCGGCTTTGGCCTCTAATGGCCGTGCTTGTGGGGCCACGAACTGCATTAATTATTATGGTGCATAACAGCGGCCACGAGTTCAATGCATAATAGAGAGCAGCGAGACCGACCACCGGTTCAGCCTGTGGTTGTGAGGAAAAATCATAATTGGGGAAAACGAATCAGGAGAAGATAATAACATCAGCTAAATTCGTACAATAGTCAAAATAATTTCATGCAAAGATGATAAGTAGCTAATTGTGCATGCAAGCGCAAAGTTCAAAATGTTAAATTTTTATTGCAGTCGAATTTCCAGTTCGAAATGTGATGGCACAACATGAAATATAAAATTAATTGAACGATTTATAAGGTGCACAACATAACAGCTTTATGCCTTTATTGTCCAAATAATCTAAGCTTGTTTATATTTCTAAATCTTGTTTTTATCTCATGTACACTATCATCTGAAGAATTTAACTCCTGGTAACTTTTCAACCTAAATAAACTCGAGAGAAAGGCGCATGTCGGTACCGAAAATTGTTGCTGTGTTTCCACTCAAAATTTCTGCACATTACTTACTGCAGTCAAAGCTAGCACTCAAAAACGAGCACCGGTAATTTTATGCAAAAAGTTTCGCCTTAGCTTGGAAGTTTGGAGGGCAGGTGGGCGCCAGAAACTATATAAAGCCGCCGCCCGGCAGTTCCCTGGCTCAGTCACAGTCCGGAAGTCTGGACAAGCGCGACTTGCTTGCATGCTCCTCGCAGTCCTTCTCACACCGCTGCGTATCCTCCAGCAGAGCTATTTAAACGTTAACTATTTTAATTATTTTCCAAAAGGGCTGGAAAACTGTTGATGCTTAACTGTTTTCAAATTTTTATAGAAATTTTGCCAAAAACTTAAGGATATTTCCCGCGCACAATTCACGGAATTTTTTTATTCGCGTTCACACATTTTTTGCAAGACAGGTCATTAAAAATGCGGGTTCAAAGTCTCATTTGCGTCGTACTGCTCGGCCTGTCTCTGCACAGTGCTGCTCTCAAGGTAAGTTACACTCTAATAATGTTGAGAAATTATCAACATACATTGAGTCTTTGATTTTAATTTTTAAATGTTCATAGAATCACAAATTCCGTTATTATTTCGTTGCCAAATCGAATTAAAGTTATTATGTATTTTCAATTAATGGCATTGTGTTTAGTGCAATTTTTCATTATTTTTCCAAGTTCCGAGCCTTCGCGTTTTTATTCATAAAATGTATTCTCTTTCAAAGCATGGAAAATATAAACAAGATGAGGAAGAAGATTGCGAAAAAACGCAGGTCATACTATTACAAATTATGCTTTTGTCAGCGTTTTTCACTAACGCAATCCTATTTTGCGAATTATGATAAATTAAAACAACATTTTGAATAAAATCAACGTGTAATTCGAAGGGAAGCGAATAATTAGCATTTATATTAAAATTATACCGAGCCACTCATTAATATTTATTGTGTGGTTACTTAAAATTAACTTAAAGGTAAGATTTTAAAGACGTGATTTCAAGTTTAAATGATATGAGCTGCAGCAAACTTCAAATAAAATACGGGAATGAGTCGGAATTTTTTTTTTATTGGTCCTGTTGTCTTCGAAATTTTGTTTTCTCTCTTTTTGTTATTATATTTCTTAGCAATAATTGGGAGTATTTAACTTATTACAATTAACTTGGACATTTCATTTTGGATGTCCGGTAAATTTTCCTTTTCAAACTTCAGTAAAATCTCACGATAATTCCGTCTCGGTTTTGATCCCAACCTCCATCTTAGTAATGATCGTAATCTCCGTATGAAATAAGTCATCATGAAGTAAAATCAATGAATATCAATTATCGTGATCTCCGCATGAAATAAGTCATCTTGAATTAAAATAAGTTAATTTCAACTATTCTAATCTCCGCTTGAAATAAGTCATCTTGACGTAAAATCCATAAATTTCAATGATCATAATCTCCGCATGAAATAAGTCATCTTGGAGTAAAATCAATGAATATCAATGATCGTGATCTCCACATGAAACAAGTCATCATGAAGTAAAGTCAATGAATTTCAATTTTCAATCCTGCGGATCCGAATCCAGCAGTAGATGTAACCCGACCAGCCAGATTGCTCCGGCGAGATTGCGCCTGTTGCGTATGTTGACGCGTGAATTTTTGCGTCACCTGCGCTCTTATATCGGTCGAGTTTATATAGCAACTGAACGTCAACAACCGATTAATTAATCGCCAGAAATGCCAGAAATCGCCAGATTTCTGGAGAATCGCCCGAAATCGCCAGAAATTTTTTTTCCGCAAATGGACGACGTTTTAAGAGCATATAATTTCTCGAATTATTGTAAATTATTGGGGTTTTGTTCAAGCGTTAAAACGGAGTTGATAGATTGGAATAAATAAATATTTTAATATTTAGATATATATTGAATATATTTTTAATATATTGCAGCATCGAAGGCAAAAGATGAGCATAGAAGGATGTGCTAGAGTAGCGGAGAATTGCAGGATTCGGACGGCGTTTGAGTTTTAGAAGATATAAGAAGAATTGGAGGATTAGAGGACAGTGATGGTGTCGGTTTGTTGGATGATATTGAATAGTATAGTGATATATTAGTGTATAAATAATAGTACAAGATTATGGGGAGAAATGGGAAAGCATAGAAGTATTAAATGAAATAAGAGTTTAGAAATTTTATGGGATATTACAGAGTATCCGAGTGAAGAATGATAACATAAAATCTCTAAGATTAGTTTGGGAAGAATCTCGAATCAGTTTCGAATTTCTAATTTCAATTTCCCTCTGTTTACTATTCTATAAAATGGCCTCTTTAACTTGGGCATTTTTGTGAGCTATTTAGCGCAAACCTGGTGTCAAATTTAGCTTGAAGTTTATACTGAAGAAACCCCCTATAACGTTATTTAAAAATCTTAGAACAACAAAATTGAACCATTTAAATTACTGTTAAACTGAAAGTTAATGAAAATAAAACTACTCCAATATAAGTTGGATTTAATTTTTTAACATTATTGCAAGCTTATAATGGTTAATCTTGCAAGTAAACAAATTTGTATAATTGAATTCATCTTTGCTGCTCGGTGAGCGTGTATACTTATTGAATTCCAAGGATAAATGCGGAGTTCTCAATACAAACCTGTAAAAGTTACCAAGTGAAATTACGGTCAAAGCTAAGCGATTAAGTCAAACCAAGTTTGTAACAAATAAATATCTTCGCTCCCATTATGGCCCGAAATCCTTGGACTCTCTTTTTCGAATGGCTCCATTCCCGAAAGCAATAAATTGACTTATATTTCCTGTCATGACGTGACTCGAGTCGACCGTTTCTTTTTCGTGCCCTGTCAGATTTTGTCATCAGACATAACGCAATTTATTACCTTTTCTGACACAGAAAAGATTCCATCGCCACAATCACTGGCTATTTGATACCAAGAATAGAATTACTCAGTCTCCTAAATACATCTAACGATATTATTTGACCAAAATTTAGCTTTTCTGTCGGATCACCGATATTTTTTGTATCTGAATGAGTTGCTAAATTTCCCAGAAAATTGAATCTTCACGTACTGCATTAATGACGAAAATTTACCCGTTAATAATTTTTAATTTTAAAAACCTGTGTATAGCCTTCATTTCCCCCCTACGATCGTTTTGCTGATCCCGAATGTACTAAACAAGTTCGGCAAACATACTATTCGTTATTTAGAAATTATTAACTCTACCTTCTTTAAACTATTAGTTAAGACACGAGATGCATCCGAATAATACTTTTTGCCGTCATAATTAAGTGAATATGTGGAATACATCTGTATACTTTGTATGCAGTTAATACTTTTCTTTCATAAGGAAATGAGTGAAATAATACTTGTCAATATTTTGTATCTTTGTATCCAATTGCTGCTATTAAGCGTCATAAGAAAGTAAGGAAAAGCACAAAGTTTTGAATCTCACACCGGAGACTGCTTTGTCTAGGAAAATTAAAATCCCGTTTCAAAAGAAGCTTTGAATATTTTTGTCCAGGATAGTTTGATGCTTCCAGAATTTGTGCGCCTTAAATTCTCATCTTGAAAAAAATATATATCTATATTCCTGCTATCATCCGAAATTTCACTCCTGTGGGAATACGCTATGAAATTTTTTTAACGTTGAAAGATGTTCAAAATATGCCATTTCAGACTTCAAAATATGCCCTGCGATACCTAAGATTTAGAAATTATTTGGTGTAAAATTGCTCCCACGAGTCTTGTCTGTACATCATAACTGATAAATCTTTAGTATTTATGAACATCAGGTAAAACGTATTTTTCGTGTTTCAAAATTTTACAAAATTTCTTTACTGAAGGAAAATTGAAATAAGGCCAATATTGGATAATTTAACGTTGAAGGCTCTCAAAAAAACGTTAATACTGAATCAGTTCATTTTTTAATACTATTGATTATTCTATCAACATCTAGGCTACCATTCTTATGGTAAAAACTTGTCCAGTCATCGCTGATCTTAAATGTCATCACTTTTGATTTTTAATGTGTATGATTAAAAATCCTCATCCCTCGATACAGTTATGTATGTCCTTGTGCTGTATCAATGTTATTGTGTTAAGTTTTCTTCAGTCCTTCATTTTATTCCGTAAGTTTTTCCGTATATTCAGAGAAGTCGCAGAATTCTTGGCGTGCTACGTATTAGCTCTGCAAAACTGCCTGCTCAAGGGAAATCCACTATGCTGGCCTCGATGAGAATTAGATTGTTTTAGCAGGCGCCTTTGAAATTGAAAGGCTATGTATAAGTTTCCAGGGCCCTATTAGAACTATTACCTACTCGAAATTGGATTAAATAGAATTTATTTAAAATGTCAGAACTGTCTGTGAAAGCAGACCAATTATGGAAATATACGACAACAGTATCTTTGCCTCTGTTTCTCATGCTCGTGCAACTCACTTATGTGGTGTCATGCAGTTATGTATTAATACACACGGTGAGTTTGTACCCTCACCGTGCGGTGTCTCAGCCCTCACACGATCACACATAAAAATTGAATGACTGAATCCAGAAATGACAGAAAATGCGGTAAACTCTAGCCTTAAAATGAAATAATTTCTACTAATGAACATAAGATAATAATGATATGATATATAATCAATTAATTTCATTTGATTCCCTGACAACAGCTAGTGTCTAGAAAGAGCATATTACTTTGCTGGCAATTTTTTTGCATTCACAAATGAAAATTTTCATGACATTTATTTCTCAAAATTTTGAGGCTGCAGATTGTTCTTTCCGTCTCGGTGCCGAACGTCTTGCTTTTGCGCTTCGCTGTGACAGGCCAATTAGCGATCAGACGACAATCATGCTTGATTGTCACGCGGATTGTTATTGTTTTGATTGTCGTGCGTGCAGCTCTGAAGCAAATTCTTCTATGATAAACTGAGTTTAGATTTGGTTTGTTACGAGTTTTTTGTGCTTTCGGTTGCGTAATACTAACGATATATTTCGCCTGCAGTTACACGAAAAAAATAGCGCCGTGAAAAATTCATCATTTTCTGTTGCCTAATCTTAAACTGATATTTTAATGATGTTCAAGGCATTTTGCTTTCAACTTCAAATCTAAGTTATGGCTGAATTATGACGAAGTCTTAACCTGTGTAGGTGAACGATACTCGAGTTCCAAATAACTATCTTCCTTCGTCATGGTTAACTTATAAATATTTTTAAACTCGCGGAGTTCAACACGACTATTGATTAACTTAATATGAACTTCATTGTTAAATCACAATAAATTTGTATTCATTCATCATTAATTTCCTATCGTTGCAGAATGAATGTTACATACAATTATAATTTCACTACGAAAAAAAGCGAGACTACGTCTAAATAATGATACACTTTTAGTCTTTGGGTGGGTCATCCTGACCCATTTTGGCCCGGTAAAAAGCTGTATAAGAGCTTCGTTCAAAAAGTATGACTGCTACTTAAAAAATATGACTCGTCCATTTTCCTGAA